CTGATGTTAGTTATCGGTGATGGTTTTCTTCTCTTTGTTGTTCTTTTATCATTAAACTAATAAAACATAAACATACATTGGGATACCTGTGTTATAATTCCACAGGTAGCCCAATTATCCAACTACTAAGGGTTCAGCACCTTGCTTACTTCAAATTTCAATTTTTGAAGAGGTTAAGGGACACAATTTTTGCAGAGTAGGACTAGCTAAGCCCATCTCTTCAGACAAATTAATAAACAGTTGAATGAGTTTATGTTCTTTTTTGAAAAAAATAAATGAAAATGAAAAAACAAAACAAGGCTCCTGGAAATCAGAACATAATCCTTTTGTCTTTTCAGAGCCTCATCTTCAGTTAAGGTGGCAATCATGGGGCTACAAATATAACTTATATCATCCTGCTTATACTGTAGACTAACCTGAGCAATAAACTGCTTGTCACCAGGAATAACTCTGGTTTGAACATGTTCTAATGTGTATCTAAACATCCCTTGCTGCATTGCAGATGTCCATTGGTTTAATAATAATTGGTCAAACTGGGTATAACACAAAAAAATATGTTTGAATAAATTATCATACATTATTGGCAATTAATATACAACTGAATGATGAGTCATGTTATGATAAATGAATAAATAAGCTTAATTAATCAATCACTAATCTATGAAAAAATATCAAATTGATATTTTTTCATAGATTAGTGATTGATTAAGTTTAATTTAAGCTTAAATATTAAGTTATTAAGCTATAGATGAAAACGAAAATATGAATAGAAAAATGAATGATTAGTGAATTAAAAGATTAAAGATATTATCTTTTGCTTACCTCACTCCTCTGTGTTCCTACATGGCCGTTCAAAGTAATTCTCGCTGGATTTCCCACAAACTTTGCAAGAGTCCCATCCAAGTTCGAGCGCCGGTAGCGAAAGGTGGTTATGTCATCCATTTTACCACGATTTTAGTAAATCAAACATTATAATGATAACAATTGATAACTTTGAATATTAACTGTACAATTACTTTGCTAGTGAATAGATAAATATACCAATAAATATAATAGGGCAATGCCTAAAGTCGATAAATAAAAATATACTAGTATCTAGYTTTCCCCGACTTACTACAGGCTAGTGCCCAGGGTTATTGTTTACCCAGAATGCCTTAGAATTCAAAATGGTGGACGAAATGCAATGGCGCACTTTTCAAAAGTTCTCAAAGATAAGTGAATGACAATGGAAAGATTGGATCTACCACAAAGGATAATATCAGCATTAAAGAAAGGTACCTTTTGTAAATTCTTATACCCCGAAGAACCATGATATTTTATTTTAATCGCAAAATATKTGCACTCTGACAGCACGTCTTGAAAACATCGATAAAATAGTRTGCACATCGGCTTCTGACATTCAGCGTTTGACAAAGCTTTCCATATCAGACGTGGCACTTCTTCACCAAGTTGCAGCTTCGTCTATTTCAAGACCACCAGTTCAAACTGCTTTAGAATTATATCATAGCGACAACGGTACTCATGTTTCCACTGGGTGCCCTGTGTTAGATAAGGCCTTGAGGGGTGGTATTGCTTGTCAAGGTATTACAGAAATCACTGGTAAAAGTGCTTCTGGGAAGACACAGCTCTGCCTTCAGCTTTGTCTGTCTGTACAGCTGCCGGCAGACAGGGGTGGCCTGGGACGAGGTGAGTCCATTACAACTAATTGATTCATAAGATAACAGCTTAAGTTAATTAGCAATAGACTGTTGTCAATCAAAACTATGTCATCATCATCATCATCATTCTCATGGCAACAATAATCAATGTAAATAATAATTTTATCATATATTTACTCATTCACTCTTTCTTCCATTTTTTCATTCATTTTATTTCCCAATGTTATGTAAAATGTATGGTGGTCTTTCACTAGGTGCGTTGTTTGTTTCTACTGAGGATGTTTTCCCAAGCAAACGTCTTCACCAGCTGATTCCGCCATTCCTACAAAAGCAAGATATAAAA